GTTCTCAAGCGCTGATGTATCTACTTTTACTTTCCTAATTAATTTCTAGTTTTAAAGTGGCCTGGCCACATGAAAACTTGTCATTTGGCATATTTTTATGTCGAATGAAGAACCGTTTTATGTGTTCTCACCTTCATGTTTGCATTTCAGTCTTATTATAGAATGTTTGCATTAAGACTATTTACCAGATTAACTTCATAAATTCGAATTTCTTTTTTGACGTATATACAATGAATTTTTTTAAACAGTTAAACTTCAGAGATTAAAAGGCTTTTCTGACTAGCTTAAGTCATCGACAGCTGGCTGCTTCGTAGAGGAAGAAAGGAGTTTTAGGTTGACTTAGTTCGATTTTGGTCTTACGCTTCTTTGTTCTTTTCCGATGAAGCCAGTCAAAAAAGCATTTTATATATCCTCACCATTACTAACAGATTCTTAAAGTTAACAAAACCAATGCCAGACAGTTCCAAGTCGAAATTTAATTTTTAACTTTCTTCATTCCAAAATACATGGAACCCTCCGTTTTGTTTGATTTTTTTTTGTTCTGGTGTATTTAAGTGCTTTCCTTGCATAACTTCTGTTTCCTGTCCCCATGTGAAGTGTGCAAACATTTTTTATGTTGGTCTTTCTTTTTCATTTCTTTGATTTGCCGAACATAACATGAATTTTTTTGTTTCGATTTGGTTCTTGGATTTCTTGCAAATGTAGGATGGTATTACTACTGGCCTCAGCACTTATTAGATTTTAGTTTTGTATATGGTGTGGTATTTTGGGTTCTACTCTTTGGTTCTTCTTCTTTTGCTCCCTGTATATGAGAAGTGATTATGATTTTTTTCGAAGCAAAAAAAAAAAAACATGGATTACTTGCATGGCATATGCAAAAGTTTGCATACGATTATCATTATAAAGCTCTTCAATGTAAACGTAGCATAAATAATATAAAAAAACTCATAAGGAGTTTTGTTTTTATAAGTATCCCATAAAATTGTCTTGATCTAAAAAGTTTGTAATCAATTGGATGGGTGGCTGGGTAGCTTAAACGCATGACTATAAAAGTGGGGTACACACTATGAATCAAATGTATTATTTTTGCAAATTGCAAACAATTTTAAACATTCAAAAATTATAATTAAAATATAAGACAAAATTTAAAGTTTTCCTAAAGCTTGGCTACGTTTACATGTAGGGATTTAATAAACCGTCTGGTTTAAATTGAACACATGCCAATAAATGAGGTGTTTTCATAAAAATATCAGACCAATTCCATTTAAAAGAGCTTTTAATGCATATGTCACCATAGCAAGGTTACTAAAGGGTTAATTATTGCTAAATATTATGCCCGCCAGAAAACCTCTTTATTTTTAAAAACAAGAAGTACCTTTCGTTTTTGTGACAATAACATAAGTTTAATTTTGGTTTTGTAAAACTGCAAAGTTTTAGAAATTTTTGGTAAGTAATTTTTATATTTTTAACATCTTTTTGTTTCCGTGAAAAAAAAAAAAACATGCAAATCGGAAGAAAATTTATAAATTCTTATAATTTGTAATAAAAAAAAAACAGTCAAGATTTGTTTTTAATTTCATTAAGAAATAGTACGCTGCTGTTTATATTTTTGTGATATATAAAAATTATTTTTGTTTAATGTTGTGGTGTTGTTTTTACACACACACATTTATTATAAGTTTTTTGGTAAGTAAAATCAATGACATTAGTTTACATGTAATTCAATTGCTTGGCTAATCGTGAAATTCTAATTGAAACCAAGAAAAAAATGTCTACAAAATGAAGAAAAGGCACTGGTTGATTTGATATGTGGCCAGATCACTTTAATACAGGGAAAGTAAATATGTAAAGTCAACTCATTTTTGACTTGACATTTTGTGAAAGCGAGCTGGCGATACATCAAATTAACTTGCCTATTGTTATTAGAGGACGTTTATTTAACTAACATTGGCTTTTGTCGTGCCTAAAGCGAAGAAAAAATATTGTAAGCTAATGTAGTTTATATATATTATTTTTATCATTTTTTTAACAACCCTTTCATGTATTTATAAAAGAAAACGTAAACTGTCGATCACAACAATTTCATATTTGAAAACAAAATCGCTCGTGCAGTTTTATAATTGATATATTCTTCTTTTTTTCTTTCAGTGTACTATAATTACTTAAGTTCCGTTAAACAGATACTAATCTTATCTTGTTTTTATTTATTTGTAAGCCAGAAAAAGAAACAAAACAATTTAAAAAGGGAATAGCTATTAATCTAGGACGAATTGTTTTATTTGTATATTTTATTATTACAAAGCTACATGGCGACATATCAAATTTGGAAACTAAAAAAACTGATACCATGTTTATATGGCATATATTTTCAGAAGTTATATAATCATGAATTATCAGCCATGATGTTGATAATAAGATGCCAGACAATAAAATGTTTTCATTTCATAAAACTTTTGTAAAGAAAAAACAAATTTAATGTTTTCGTAAAACAAGAATCCAGGCCCAGAAATAAACAAATTTTTGTTCGATTTGCTACAAATCCTAAGGGACATGACTTGATTAATCATCGGTTTGACATAACCTTTTTTCTCGAATTCCCTTTCCTGATGTAAGATGTTAAGAGCAATGAACATTTGCTGGGAGAGTGATAGGAAAATATGACATTGTTCCCATGGTAGAAGAATACAGGTAGATGCATCCACGAACATTGATATGTCAAAAAATTTACATGTCTTTTCAAATATAAGTAGATTTTTATATGTTTTCTTATATGACGTCATTTGGAGGTTATTATAATTCGCGTTTTTCAACAATTTTTACAAATTTAAATAATTTTTCATTCAACATTTTCAATTCCAAAATTGGTTTGACAGTTTATTGTCCCAGCAGCTGTGTCGATGCGTCTACCTATATTCTTCTTCCATAATTGTTTCTCTATCTTAGATTTCTCTCCCACATGTAAACACTGTATTTTTCTCAAATTTTTGTTATTATAAACAGTTTGATGTGTCGCCAGTCAGCTTTATGCGATTCAAAAATTTACTTGTGAAAATCTTTTTTTCTTTAATTATTAAAAGCAAAACAAAAACTATTGTACATTTTGAACATTTTTGGCTAAAATCTGCTTGATTTGTAAAGTATATATTTAAAAAAAAAGAAACACTAGAAAATTTTCAGTTTTATAATTTTTTTCCAATTAAGAAAAAAATAAAATAAAAACAAAAACATTTGTTCAGCACACCATTCCGATACGATAGACTAGAATCATAATTAAATCGAATCTCTTCATTTTCTTTAATTAATGTTTTTTTATAAAACTTTTTGTTTTATATGAAGATTTGTGATATGTTTTGTTGAGTTTTTTTATTTAAATTGTTTTAGGTTATGTTTACACTCAAGCCATTTGAATTCGCTTTTGTAAAATTTATTTTACATGTCTTATTGGAAAATGTAAGCCAAATAATATTACATGAAAAAAAGCTGCAATGTAAACATAGCATCATTGTTAAAAGATAATCTAAGAACACGTTTAGACTTCAAAATCCACTCGATGTCAAATGTCATGCATGGGTGAGCAGATTAAAGTAAATTTAGAAATGTCAAATGTCGATTCCATAACGTCAATTCCATAATTTTCACATTTTCTTTAAATTTTATTGAATGAAAGTAAAAATGTCGGAAATATCATCAAATTTTAGAATTTTAGATTTTTTCGAATTGGTTATTTTTGGCACGAATTATGAAACCGTCATATTTTTTATACGACGTCATTCGGAGGTTATTAAAATTCACGTTTTACAATAATTTTATTCAGATTTTATGTTAAGAGCACGTTGAGAAATAAAATCGTTGAAAAAAAAAACATTTAAAATGTTTTTGACATATCAATGTTCCAAAAAGTTGATGCATCTACCTGTATTGTTCTATTATGATAATAAAGTGCCAAGTGTGATCATGAAAGAAAGCCTAAAGGCTGGATTAAGTTGTAGACTGGCTTCTTCGGATATGATCAATGGAGTCTAGGGCCAAAATCGAACTAAGATAACCTAAAACTCCTTTGTTCTTCTACGAAGAAGCCAGCCAATGACTTAAGCCAGCAAAATAAGCGCTTTGTGTATTTCCACCTTAAACGAAAACATGTTCTTCTAAATTCTTACGGATTGAATTGAATTAAATTACAATGAGGGCATGAGTGTAAACATGGTTGGATCATATTAATTACACTTTTGTTTATCGTATTATTTTATTATTATTTATAAATTAATAGTTGATTGATTATTATTTTCTATTTTAATCGATTGTTGTTGTTGTTTAATTGTAATTTTTTTGTAACCTATTCATATTTTTTCACTGTTTTTTTAATTTTATGAGTTTTTTACTATTTTTCTTCAATCAACTTTTTTTCGGTGCTGTTACTAATTTAGATATTCTTTTAGTTTTTATTATTTATTTTATTATTTTTTAATTTAATTTCAATATTTTTTTCTCTTTTTATATATATTTTATTTTGTTATTAATTTGAATCTCGTTTAGAATCAACTCATTTTTCTGATTTTTTATTTTTTACTTTAAATTTTCATTTTTTTTTCAATGTCTCAGAGTCTTCGGTTCCCACAATCTGCATTTATATTATAAACTAATTTATTATTATTTTTATAAATATCCCGAATGTAAATTAATGTTTATTATTTTTATGTTTTTTTTTATTAAATATTTTTCTTGAAAACTTTCCATTTTAACAGTCTTGTATTTTATGTATTTGTTTATTTCTTTTTTTTTCGCAAAAATTAACTATTGCTTAGAAGAAACAACAATATAAATAAATAAAAACATCAACAATTTGAGATGATTAAATAAAAATGACAACAACAACAACACTTTATAAGACTGAAAACTCAAAGTAATCAAAGATCTAAATGGCTAAGTCATTACAAAAACGGCTGTGATATTTATGAAAATAATATTTTATACATAATTATATACAGTTTTATTACATTTAAATAAATAATTAATAAAAACAATAAAAAACAATAACTTACCAATTTGGTGATATATCATCCAAATGGGCATGTTTCCAAAAGTCTCTTAATTCTTCTAGCAAAAATGATACTGGCATACCGTGAATGTTGCCCGAATTGCTGGTGGAATGCAGATTAATATCGGCATGGGCATCTACCCAGACCAAGGATAGATTTGGACTATGCATTAAATGGCCTGCCACTGAACCTAAAGACACCCACACACACAAAATATTTTAAAATATTAAAGCAAATCTCCTGAAAAAGAGGAAGTAAGTATACTTACCAAAACCAATGGCATGATCACCGCCCAGACACAAGAACTGATCTTGTTCCTTGAGTATTTCGGGGATTTTGGTAATCAGGGATTTATTGCAGCTCATAAATGTATTGTAATTTTTCATGTTTTTATAGTGTGGCGGTGTGTTTTGATCATCAATCAATTCGTAGCTTAAGTTGCCATAATCGGTAATTGCTAAATTTCCTAAATAAAATAAATAAATTAAATTGTTGTCTTTCTTTGGAAATCCTTTACTTCTCTGGTAAGTATAACAAACACCCACCCCTTGAGGACTCCTGCAGCATGGATACCAAACCATTTTGCCTTAGAAAGTCGGGTGCCTGTTCTACGCCACCCTTGCTTTGGCCCTTACTAAAGGGTACACCCAAAATACCCAGTTTTGTTTTTGTCGCTGCCGAAGATGAAAACTGGCGAAATATTGTTTTCAACATTTTGTTCAGAAGTTCTCCTCCAACGTCTTTACTTTTGCAATGCTCTTTGACAACTAAAACCAAGCCAATCAATAATCCAGAAAAAACGCGGTCCAGCCTCCGCTTTATGGTTGCAACTGATAACAAAGACAACAATCATATTTCTGTCATATTTTATATTTTGTTGATAACCTTTGGGAAGGCAAAGGCAAATCTCAAGCTTTCTTTTTACAGAGATTTCAGGCAAAAATATTTTTCTTACGAGGGGGTATTCTTTATTATCAATGAATTTTATAAACCATATGAAAACAAACTGATACGTCATAGTTTTTTTTTTTTTTGTAGTAATAAATACAATTACTTTGTAAATAATCAGTCAGAAAGGGGTTTTGAGAAATGTGATTCATTTAAGAAGACCAAATCATGGAAAATCTGTAATACCAAAAAATGGACAAATAGTGGTAAAGCGCAAAATAAATTGTTAAGCCTCAAAGAAGAAAAAACTGAAATCGGTTTCTAGCCACTGGCAATTTACAGGGTGAGATAAAAAAACTGCAACAAAGGCAAACGCCATAAATCTCACTTTTTTTAAATTTTTTGAATGAAAGCAAAAAATTTCGGAAATAGCATCCAATCATAGAAAAAGTTTAAATTTATTCGAATTGGTCACCTTTGGCACGAATTAAGGCCTTCAAACGGCCAATGAAACCGTCACACGCTGCCTGAATGTTGCTGTGCGGTATTTTGGCCCATTCCCGGCAAAGCGCTTGCTTGAGGTGATCGACACTTTGGTATTTTTTAGGGCCAACCTTGCTTTTCAAAATACTCCGGATTGGTATCCGGAGATTTTGGTGGCTATTGTGCACTGGAAATGAAGCGAGGAACCTCATTTGGTAACTATTTTTGGGTAGCGCCCATGCTGAGTGCGATGGTGTTGGAGTCCTGTTGGAACGTCCAAGGTCTGCGGCCAAAATGTTTGCTTGCCCAAGGCTTTAATACACCCTCCAGAATATTTTCGCGATAATATTTGGCATTTATTCTGATGCCACGGTCAATTAATAAGAGCGGAGAGCGACCATTGGCTGTTATGGCGGCCCACACCACCATCACCATGGCCGGCGCTTGAATTCTGGTGGCCAACCGAAACAAACTGCTGGACAATGAATGTTTTCTCATCGGCACCGGAGAAAACCAAATTCAGCAGTTCGCCACTTTCGGCCAAGCGATGCAACTCTTTAGCTCTATTCAGTCTACATATTTTCTTTCTGTTGCTGTATAAGTTCTTGGCATTACCTCGAGCTCATTTTTCAAAATTTGCCGAATGGAATATTTCGATATGTTCAGCTCACGAGCAATTTTTCGGCCACTACGACGCGGCTGTCGATCAAGTCGATTCTTTACATTTCGAACCATTTCTGCTGATGTTGCTGGTTTCTTCCGTCCACTTCCTTGACGTCGGGCTACGCCATCAGTATCACGGTAACGAGCAATGGTACAAGACACAAATGATTTATTCACATTTAAATGCTGGAGTGTTCTAACGATAGCCACTTGTGGTTTTCCTGTCAATTATAAAGAAATCACACTATCACGCTTGAATTCCATCACGAATAACTTTCTTCTGGAAAATTCCCACCAAAATGCTTTTGTACACTTGTAAACAATGATATGTCATTGGCATAATTTTAATAGCTATTGGACGAGTGGCTTGGAAATGACAGCAGTCTGAAGTTGGTTGCAGTTTTTTCATCTCACCCTGTATATTTCCTTCTACCACCTAAGAACATGATTTAATGGAAATATGGCTAAGAAAATATCAGGAAATAAATTGAACTTATAATAAAATCTAAATTTCTATGTGGATATTGTTTTCGGGGAAAGCTTATTGCCTAATAAGAAATCGAATTGTTGAATTACAGGCGATTTGATTGCGAGGGATGACCTTTCAGCCTACAAGTATAAAAAAGTTTAGTTTTTTATTAAAACACAATTTTTTAATTTACATTTTTATTTTTTAAAAATTTAAATTTTTAAATTTACATTTCTATTTATTTTATATGTGTATATTGCACTAAAATATTGCTTTTATTTCTATAACATTTTAATTTCTTGCATCATCTGATTTTGTTTGCGATTGCTGTTCGGCCGCTTCTTTTTCTTTGCGATAATGGTCCCATTCATGATTTCTTAAATCCGCTTGATATTTAAAAGCCATAGGGCATTGGCTACACATATAGGTATTTTCGCCAACATGTGTGCGTAAATGTTTATTCAAATCATTGCTTTGGGCATAGGCTTTGTCGCAATATTTGCCTGAAAAAAAGAAAAAATAAAACGTAAAAAAAATAGATCCAGGGGAAATTTTAGCAATCTATGATCAAAAATTTCCTCAAAGGTAACCAGCATTGGCTGGACTCTTGTTCTATGAAAATATGAAATGAAAATACAACATTTTTTGCCTCCACAAAAGTTTTCATTTCAAATGATCATGAAATGAGAATTGAGCCAAAGTTGTGGATTATGGGCCTCATAAGAGATTTAAAAATACAGGGTGAGATTGAAAAAAATGCAACCAACTTCAGACTGCTGTCATCCCTAAGCCACTCGTTCGACAGCTATTAAAATTATATTTTTTACAAGTGTACAAAATCATTTTGGCGAGAATCTTCCAGAAAAAAAGTTATTCGTGATTGAATTCAAGCGTGATAGTGTGATTTCTTTATATTTGGCTGGCTATCGTTAGAGCACTCCAGCAATTAAATGTGAATAAATCTTTTGTGTCTAGTACTATCACTCATTACCGTGATACTGGCCAAGAAAATGGACGGAAGAAAACGGCAACATCAGCAGAAATGCAGCAGTTCGAGAAGTAAAGACGCGACTTGATCGAAACCCGCGTTGCAGTAGCCGAAAAATGGCTCGTGAGCTGAACATATCGCAATATTCTATTCTGCAAATATTTAAAAATGAGTTCGGGGTAAAGCCACTGACAATTCCAAAAAGTGCAAGAACTTACACAGCAACAGAAAGAGTATAGACTCAAAAGACGGGTTTCTTCGATGAGAAAACATTCGTTGGCTAGCAGTTTTTAAACAAACAAAATGATCGCGTTTACTTGCCAAAGAGGTCAGCTGAAAATGTGCACCTTCGGTTTGCCACCAGAACTCAAGCGCCTTCCATGATGATGGTGTGGGCCGCCTTAACAGCCGATGGTCGCTTTCAGCTCGTATTAATCGACCTTGGCTACGGAATAAATACCGAATATTATCGCGAAAAAATTCTGGAGGGTGTACTAAAGCCTTGGGCACGCAAACATTTTGGCGGCAGACCTTTGACATTCCAAGAGGACTCAGAACCATTGCACTGAGGTTTCTTGCTTCATTTCCAGCGCACAATGGCCACCCAAATCTCCGGATACTTTTCCGGTGGACTATTGTGTCTGGAGTATGTTGGGAAGCAAGGTTGGCACTAAAAAATACCAAAGTGCCGACCATCTCAAGCAAGGCCTTCGCTGGGAATGGGCTCAAAATACCGCAGAGCAACATTCGGGCGTGTGACGGTTTCCTTGACCGTTGAAGGCCATTATTCGTGCCAAAGGTGGCCAATTCGAACAAATCTAAACTTATTCTAAAATTTGATGCTATTTCCGACATTTTTTGCTTTAATTCAATAAAATTTAAAAATTATGGCGTTTGTTTTTTTGCAGTTTTTTTTATCTCACCCTGTATATATTACAATTAACAAACTATATTTGGGTCTCACATTAGAGGAGAGATAGATCCTATTGCTCGCTTTTCCTTTACAAATGTTACCAATTGCAAATTATTATAGTTTTTCAGAATATCATTTTGAATACCTACACTTATATGGTTTCTCTCCCGTGTGGGTACGACGATGACGATTGAGATTCATTAAACGTGGGAATCTAAGAAAAAGAAACATAATAAATTTAAAATTACAAAAAAAAAGTCCAAAATTTCCCTTACGCCATTGGACACTGATCACACTTGTAGGGTTTCTCGCCCGAGTGCAGAACTTTGACATGCTGATGTAACGTATCCACTCGAGAAAATCTTGCACCACATGTTGAACAAACATGATTTTTACCCTGTTGATGAGACATCAAATGTATGTAACGATCTGAGGGGCATTTAAAACGTTTCGGGCAATGTGGACAGCTGTAGGGTTTATCATCACCGTGGCGTTGCATGTGCTGTCTTAAGTTACTGGGCCTATAGAACTTCTTACCACACAACGTACAAAGATAATTCAAGTCTCCTGTATGTATCCTCATATGTTGTTTCATGGCGAATTTAAAGGAAAATGCTGAAAGGGGAACACTGATTAGTATTGGAATTGGAAACACTTTTGCTACATACATTTATCACAAAGTTCACATTGGAAATTTTTAATGCCCATATGGCGATTGGTGTGTATCTTCAAATGTTCCTCAACCACAAAGGTCTTGTTGCATTTGTCACATTTGAAGGGCACTATTTCGCTATGTTTTTTACTCATGTGCTGTGCTAGTCCTCCCACATTTGTATATGCAGCTGGACAATGGTTGCAGGTATATGATTTATTTAGCGGCTCCTTTTTATCTTCCATTAACCGGGTTTTATTCTTATTTTCATCGGGATGATGTTTTTCGTTGTGTTTTTGCAACATAAAAGGATATTTGAAACGATCGTGGCACACCATGCACACGAAACGATGAGCGTCTGTGTGTTTCTTTAAATGCCGTTCCATTTGTTTTTCAAAACGAAATGTGGCCTTGCACTGCGGACATGGATGCGGTGCTCTTGTTTTGTTCGTTTCCACAATAGTATCAGTTTCTTCTTTCTCCGAGGACGTTGGATCCCTGGAAACAAAAGGAAATTAGCTTTCTTTCACTTGTCCTAACATCTAACAATAAACCTGCTGCTAGAGTCCAATTGGTCTAGATCCAAATCACAATTGTCTAGTGAATTTTCATCCTTAGAGAGCCTGTTATCGGTTTTCTCTATCTCCGACTCCTTGTGTCTGTTGCGTTTGTGTTTTTGCAGCATGGTCGCATTGGTAAAATTCTTTAAACATGTATTACATTGATGTGTCATTGCACTCAGGGCTTTTTCAGAGTC